CTAAACAAACGCTATAGCAACGAACGTCAATAATACTCCGACCGCAGATCAATTGTAATGTGTGTGTAGATAGTGAGTATTCCCCTCTTTTATATACCAGCCTACCATATATCTAGTAAGAACTAGAACATTCCCCAAAGTACATGATAGTTCTGGAAACGTTGCGTCACAGTAGTCATGTGACTCGATGACGCAACAAATAGATATTTACTTAAAATATAGAAATGATCACTATACTACTTTATTGTGAAATACTTCAAAAAAAATAACTAATTAATATTCAAAATTAATGCATGCATGTATTTATAACTTACTTCCTCATTGTCACAATTGAACCAGAAAAAATTAAACAAATGTTTAAAAAATAGATTTATTATTATTGATATTTTTTATCTCAGTTATAGAAGTATCAGCATTAAACTTGAGTACAAACAATCAAAGCTACAAGATCCAGTACAATATTTATAAAAAAAAGTAAAAAAAAAATAATAAAAAAGTAAAAAAAACTGCCGAGGATCTCTATTTTTTTTTCTCTAAACTTACCTAACATGGTCAACCTTAAATGTTACTTCACTAAATTTCTTAATAACTAAAAATAAAAAAAAAATACTACCATTCTTTCATTTGTAGCAGTTTTTCAATTATACTTGTTTTACATCCCTTATTGAAAGATCATGAACATCATCCTTAGTTAAACAAATCAGTTGTTTCCCACAGATCTGTGTAGAGTAAATTAATCAATATGCTTACTTTTATTAGCAGATATGAAACTGAATTACCAAGATAAGCTTGTATTTTCAGTGGATAAAAAAAAACAAAAAACTGAATAACTTAGGCCATACACACTGTTTCCGAATACCTTAGATCGCATACACTGAATACTGTTCCACATATATTAAAATTGTATAACAACACATAAATTAGCAGTATGTGAGATCAAACACTAAAAGTCAACCTGAAAGTGTTTACTGAGACTTGGCTCCAGTCTGTTGGCTGATCTTGTTGCCACACTGCTCTCTTGATGTTCAGTGTCCTTCAATTAAAAAAAAAAAAAACAGCAGTAATGCCTTAAACAACTGTTTAGATAGTTGAAAAAATACCATACAATTAACTGTAGTTAAAACAATTAAAAAGTTGCACACTGAAAGGATACAGTACTAAATTCATAGAATTCATCCTTATTATAGCCTCAGTCAACTTTAACCAAAATGTTTTCAAACTAACAAATAACATTGTTGCACTAACCCACCAATCAAGTTTTTATCTACAGAGGTTTAGACATATTTAGCACTTACAGTATGGTTATGGCAATCAAATATCAGTTGTTGGTGTGGTAAGTAGTCTATATGATCACTTGACTCAAAGTATTAATTACTTATTAATTGTTTTTTTTTTTATTAGTAGATGTTAATTATTAACTACTTCTTATTCTAAATCTAGTTTAGACCTTTTGTATTATCTTGTTGAACTATTCTCTTGCACCTATTTTATCATTATTTATAAACACACTAGAAGACAATTACATACATTAATTTTTTATGTTACAGAAGTATTCATATTAAAAAGAAACTGCTGGCTATCAAGTTTCACAATGTTGTATTGAACTTTTATCAGTCTGAAAATTCCTACATGTTAGAACTACAACAAAAAAAAGAGCTTTTTGAAATGAAGAAAAAGAAAATTTTAAGTTCGTTACCAAATATAATCCAACGTACCAGTTTATTTTCTTTGTTGGAGCCTGTGCTCTCATCACTGCTACTTATTCCTTCTACCTCTTCTTTGAGAGTTTTTGGTAAACTGCTGATTGGTTGTTCATTAAGGATGGGACGGACAAGGATCTGAATAATGTCGTTGAGACCAACATCATAGTCAAATAATGTGTGCCCATCTTCAAGCTAAAAAAATTAATTTTTGGTTATCTAATAATTAAATAGAATAATACTAATGATTAAGAAATGTTCCTATAATTTTAGTTTCACTTGAGAAATAGACAATATTAAAGTATTAGGAATTCCATACTTTAGATAATTATTACTACAGCAATATAAAGATGAATTGTGCTAGCACTTGCAGTCATCACATTTATAAACCTTTCAAAAACATTCTTAAAACTAATATATTTCTTTCTGTTATAGATGATATGTTTTACATTCATTCTCTTAAACCATCTATTGCAAGTAACACTGTCATAAATTTCTCAGTGTCAAAATATCTGGGTTCACTTCTCAAAAAAAGAAAAAAATTTACACGTGAAATTATCTACAAAATATTAATAATTAATGGGCATGAGCAACTTCTGATTACAACAAATACTTACATAATAAACTGTGTTCTAGTTGTGTATGTTTAGCTTTCTTCAGATTTACAGTTAATTCCTTTTGCTTTAAAGTTCATGACTTCTTCAGACAATTTTTGTCAAAGAAGTGTCAAACACCTAAAACACTATAAATTCAGTTTTCCATTCAAATCAGATTACAATGTTAGTAAAATACACCTCTGTTAAGTCCTTTCATGAACATGTAATTAGTTTTGCATTTTATACTGTATAACTATAGATCTCAGACAAATGTAAGGTGGTTGTCACTTAATTACACATATACATACTTTTTTACTACTTTGCAGTATCTCAAAAACTTTCAATTCACTTACTGGACTTTTCATAAATTTGTTTTTCACTTTCTTACAGTTTGGCTTGAAAAACTAAACTAAAAGACTAAACCATTTAAATTCAATAAAAAATACAAGAATGCAATTCTTAATATTGACTGAATTCAAATGTGTATCATAATTAGCTCTTTTTTTCTTCATCTTGAAACACAAATTTCCTATAGCCAATTATTAAAAATAACTTTTATTTTGGTTCTAATAAAACATTAGTTAAGGAATTTCTACAGGTAAAGTCCCTCATTTGAAATATAATGTTTCTTCTTTTTTTAGGAGTGGGGAAATTATGATAAAAATGTCACTTTGAACTCTACAAATGCTTTCAACTGCTAATACAAGTAGCCCTATGGTTAGACCCTATATTACTGATTTGACCTTTTTTTAAACTCAATAATGTAAAAAGATGAAAAAACAATTAGTGCAAAAATGATTTACAAAGTATCACATATTTCCTTTACTTTCAGTTTAAAAAAATTAGAATTATACTTATTTCCTGATTACAACGAAAAATAAATAATGAGTGAGTGAAATGCTAAGTGCACCTTACATGTGCTGTATAACTGAAATGGGATATGCTTAAAAAGAGCAATGAGATTTTTGCCTACTCCCCCCTGAAAAAACAACAAGCATTTATTTGTTTAATTTCTTATCTTAAGTGGGTGTTTAAAACTTTAAAGAATAAACCATATAAGGTCAATACAAATATAAGAATGCGATTCTTAATGTTGACTGAATTGAAATGTGTATTATTAAGCTCTTTTTTTGCTTCATCTTAAAACCTTATATATACAACAACATACACTTACTGAAAGCATGATGCCCAGTAATTATTAAAATCAAGAGATGTTTACTTGGAGCTTGAAACCTAGTAGTTGATTTACTACAGCATCAGCTTCAAAGCACTAGGGTAAGAAGCTCTAGGCCAGGCAAGCAAACAACTTCTAAACCTAGCCAGTACACCAGAAATTAAAAAGGGTGTTCAAAACTACTGTAACATCAGTAAGTGAACAAGTACAAAGAAAATTACATTCAATGTCAAAAAGTGTAACAATGTATTTGGAGTATGAACATTTAGAAGGAACTTCTTGTATGAGAGAAGCATTTATTCTATGAAAAAATTAAAGGACTTAGGTATGATTACTGTTGGTTAATAGAGATAAAGAAATAGTAGTTCTGAGACCTATTTACAGATTTTTGGAATTTATCAGAAAGTTACTGTAATCTAATTTACAACTGTGGTGAGATCTCCTTTAGCTTAGTTTTACCACTTAGTTTTTACAGAAAGAATATCAACATGCTGCAAAGTGTAGAGAAAAAATTCTGAATATATATATAACCTGTCACAAAAATAATCAACTAATCAAAATTAGGGTTTCTGATTATTCCAACTTTCCAAGTAAATGAAATAATGCCACTAAACTTGCTTATTCTTTGTTATGACAAAGCTACCAAGGCTATCTGCCACTGTCACTAACATGTAATTGCTGACTAGGGGGAAAAGGCATTTGTCTGGCAGCACCCACCATTACCATTTTTTTGGTGGTGAATTTTTGATCAAAAACAAGACACTCTATGGCAGCACCCAATGTCATTTTTTTTGCTTGCACATACCATGGTTGGAAGAACATTGTACTAATAATCAATTGTAATCAACTATGGGGTCATCAATTAGTCAATCAGCAAATACCACTAACTGCCCAGCTCTAGTGAAGGACTACATTTAATTTAATTTTGATTGCTTGTTTTGGTGGGTAAGCAGGTGACCTTAAAGGGCACTGTCACCTTGTTTTTTTTTCTGTTGTTGTTCTTATGTAATTACCATAATTACTCAGACACTGAGATCACCTTTGCTGATTGAAAATTTATGACTTCGAAAAGAACTTCTGGGTTAACTATTTAACTCAACTAGTACATCACTCACCTAGTGTGCAACAGATTCCATCATGCCCCCAGGAAATGCAAGAATTATTACAAATTAATTTTAAGCTTTGTATTTGCTTCATTATATTGAAAAAGGTTAACAAAGAATTATGCTTTTTAATAGAATTTTCATTGTTATTAACTTGCATGAGGCTCTTGCTAAACTGAGTTTAATGTTCAGTTTTCTTACTAAAATAAAAAACATGGACATGTTGAAATATGCAGAAATGGTCTATCAGAATTATTAATTTAATAACATGTGCCTTAAGCACATTAATCAATTAATAATTCTCAGATATGCCTTTAAGATTATTTTTTTTATTCCACCACATTGCTCTTCTGAAACTCAACCATATTAAGAGAAAAAGTCACTGTATCTTGTAAAATATTCACAAGCATATACCTTGCAACAAGAGTATGTAAAATAATATTCTAAAATGTTTAGTAGACAAAATTCGAAAACTTTTTGTTTTTATTCCCTAAATCATTTGTTCTGTTTCTCTTTTTTTGAAACTTTCCTTGTAACAGTGAAGCTACTTTTAAGAAAAATGTATTCTTGATCAAAGCCAGGTTACCAATTTGTAGTCAAGGTAAGGAGGTTAAATTTAGCACAAATACATATGTACATGCAACAGCAGTTTTAAAAATATATTTATACTTGTGATGTTATTCTCCTACTTTAGTTGTATGTTTATAACCAAAATAAATTACATCAAAGAACATGATATTAAAGTTTTTGTGTGTTGCTGGCTGTGAGGATGCTGCTGCTACTGCTTTACAAAAGGATTATTTGGTGGGTTGGACATATAAACGGCAGATGACCTTTGATTACAATAAGTGCAAAATAATGTAAGTGGTATACCAAATTTTGAATTACAAGTATAATTAGATGGGAATAACTTTAAGAGTGCTATGGAAGAAAATTACTTTGGTGTTCTGGTTCATCAGTCTTTTAAGCTATCTAAGCAATGTACTGTTGCCAATAGTATGGCAAGTAGCATTTTAAGTTGTATCTACAGAAATATCAAACACAAGTCTAAAGAGTTTATAATGTTATTGTATAGGTCATTGGATAGACTCCCATTTATAGTACTATGTTCAGTCTTGGGCTCCTTACTTTAAAAAGAACATTGAATTATTGAAAGGAAGAGTTAGAAAGAATATGAATGAGTTTCAAGGAATTGATAGTGTTGATGCATCATCTTTTTTTGGTACTTAATGGTCAGAATGATAAGATTAGGGGACACAAATATAAAGAGTCATCTTCAGCTAAAACAGCTTTAGTTTTCTAACAGTGATTGGCCTTTAAAATGGGTTACTTTTAGGTGTGGTAGATGCAGCTAATTTAAGAGGTTAAATAAAGGCTTGATAAATATCTGAATGATAAGGGTTGGCTTTGATAGTTTTATTTTTATATTGGAATTTAGTGCAGGGGATAGGACATCCTAAATGGACCAATAGGTCCCTTGTCCTTAAACTGTATGCATAATGATGTATATACAAATATTTTTCATACAGATTTAATCAAAGTAGTTTTATCATATAATATTAACAATGACTCTTAAGCTTTACTTTGTAATAATATTTTGCATTTCTTCAACCAGATGTCAATGAACAGTGTTGTGTAAAGTAATTTTGCTCTTTCATAACTGGACAATATTTTGTAGAAAAACTTCATCTGCTGAGTTACTTGTATCACAGTTTTCAAGGTCAAAATCAAGAATATGCTAATATGGCTCCATTTTACAAAATAAATGTTAATAGAATAATTTATGTTAGCAGAACAGTTTGGTAAAAGTTTGTTTCTTCATACTGTCTTCAAGTCTAAAAACTAAATGGGATTATAAAAAAGAAAAATTAATTATCGCAAAACTTTCTAATTTCCTTTGTAAAACATACAAGCCTCTCATACCAGTCTTCAAGTTAATCAAAATTCAGATTACTTGATTTAAGTGCACCTAAACCCAAATATTTTAACATTTCATTCCTAATAGTAAAACTAATCTTTATTTAGTATTACTTGTCATTACTTTTTATGGTAATTATTTGGTATTAAAATATTTATATTACACTTTACAGAAACTATTCTTAGAATGTTTAACTCACTAGTATAAGCCAAAAAACACAGGCCCTTGACTGCTGTTTTATATGCTCCTTTTCTTCAGTTTTGACCAGATAAGTTACAAAGTCAAATATCTAAAAATATAGGGCCTACAAACCACTAAAATAAAAATAACGTAAAATGCTCCAGAGTACAACTCAATATACTTATCACTATCAGCCCTACTAACAGTAGTAGAATTAGAAAAGCTATGGCTTTCCATTTTCGTTTTTGCATATCCGTGTGTTCATACTAATCAAAGAAATATTATCCGAAACAAAACGAAACTGTAGCAAAACTCACTTTGTCACAAACTACTACAGTAATTATAATTTATATTACTAGAGATCTACCTCGCATGGTAGCAATTGCCAAATGTCCAACGGTAACACTGCACAGTGCATTGCCATAAGCTTTGCAAGTTATAGCACAAATCGATATCAATTATCATACAACTTTTTATGTTTTTCTGTCAAATAAGTCCTGATTTTTCATTTTGCTCATCACAAACATATACAAGCTAATTAAAAGTATACCATTTATGATGTTTTACCTGCTTTCCACGATAAAATAATCGCTGACGTTCAGGAGGCGCATCAAATTTGTCTTCTATCTTCTTTCTTAAATCTTCTATTTTTGTCAATTTTGATAGCTCATCCACGCGGGCAGACTTACGACCGTCCATACTTCGCACTTGAATCCACATTTTTGTGTTTGTTTTCAAGGGACCCCAGTTATTATAAAATATATTATACACCCTTGAAAAATAATAATAAGTCACTATATTGCTAAGATATACTGGGAGAAATTACCAGTGGTATTATAAAAAAATGAACAAGATGCACATAACCCACGTGCAAAACTTGGCGGGAAAACAGATCCGCGGGAAAGAGTCACGTGGTGTACGTGACGAATTACAACTTGATTGGACGTCCTGTAGCATCACACTATTTTTAACAACGTTTTTTTTATGCCATTAAAATTGTAATGTGAAAGTTGTTTTTTTTACACTGCAACAGAGTAAGATATTTTATTGTTGATTCTATTTCAATATAAATTAAATGTAAGATTTTTCGTAAATGATTGACAAGCTAAGAAACCTACTAACAAAATGTGGAGGTCGTTGGTTGAACCACGTTCATTTCATTTGCTCTGTTAGGTAAAGCTTTCCTTTCCCCTACCTTCTAACCATTGTATCAGTAAAATGAAATAAATAGATTTTACAATACAAATACTTAACATATTGTTGCGTCAGCGAGTCACATAACCACCGTGACGCAACGTTTCTAGAACTATCATGTACTTTGGCGAATGTTCAAGTTCTTACTAGAAATAGGGTACGCTGGTATATAAAAGAGGGAATGTAATGTGTGC